GAGAGCGGTTAATATGATAGAATGTATAAGGAAAGAGACGCAACTAACCATCAGCAAAGAGCTCCGCTAAACAAGCTTCGCGGATCCCGCCCTCATATAGGTTAAACTTCTGATTCAGGCATGCTTCATATTCAGCGTCAAGCCTGTCATATTTGCCCAGGTCGCGCCCGTAGCCGTGCGTGTTACCCTTCTTCCAAACTGTCGGCTCCTCCATGTACTCACTCGCCCACTCCCCTGGCGTGGGCTTAACATAGAAGAAGCGCTCGAAGCAAGTCTTCTTCAACTTCGGAGACCCATACACAAAACCGTCGGGCCTCTTGTCGCGCCGCCTGATTGAGAGGCAATCACTCCTTTTTCTTGGCTCCTTGATTTTGTACATCGCGCGGAACAAACCATAGGACGGCGGGATATTGAGCCTTTTGCACGCGAGGCGGAGGCAACTCGCGTGCATAATAATCGAAGGGGAAAGGCGACCAACAGAGCATTTGAGCCGCCTATAGATCGCGCATAGCAGCGGGTCAATGGGGAACTTGAACTCCATCACCTAGTACTCGGTATATACCCCGATCCACCCTGCGGGGCAATTACCAACAGTAGTCCGCGTGGACGGAATCGCGTACTCCCAATGGGGGGGCAATCCCAACCAGCGCACGATCTCCATCACTTCCCTCCGCCCGTAGATTGACGCGTGATCGGGCTCATAACATTAAATTCAACCGCAGGTGCAACCTAGGGAAGGAAATTTCCAGTACACGCACGATAGAGCATTAAATGCTCATACAAATGACCATCGACTATAAATACCACTCACCCACATCATTTAATGGTAACTAAGCTACCCATTTCTCTCTCTACTTTCTTTCCCTGTCTACTTTTTAACATTATCTTTGGAGAGTGTCCAAGGCCACCGCCTCCGAACTTTTGGTGCAGGAGTCAATGTTCCCTGTCACCATTCAACCGTAGGTGGGATTTTGACGAGAGTGGCCACCTAAATCGCCTGGTACATTCTAGGCTTAACACAGTTACATTTGCCAACTGTGCATTCGACCCAGAGCTTATTTATAAGAGATTTCTACTTCATTGGATGTGTATTTTAGTCGTAGGGTCTTCTGTAGCCGTTTATGGTTAGTTTCTTTTTTAGCTGAATGGCAAAGAGATATATGCCTTCACACACGCAGATATACACCTTTCAATATGTTCATCACATTAATTACAATTTACGAAATTGCTTAATGCTTTTGACCGGTCAACGGGCTGGGCTATAAGCTAATATAAATAGGAGGGCAGATAAACTACATTTATTCATATTCGAGTTTTCTCACTAAAACCTTCATCACTTCTCTCTCTATGTTAGAGTGCCAACTTGACCGTTTTTTTTTTTGACAAAAGATATTCATATATAGAATTAAAGAGAGATCATTACATCCTGGAACCTAGCCAGGCCCGAAAATAAAAAACACAGCTCATAGCCGGAGACAAAGAAAGGGCTTTTCTAGCCACCCTATGGGCTACCCTATTGTTATTCCGACCTATAAACCGCACAGCTAACCCCGGATTCGAGAGAAAATAATGCAGAACTTCTTCTAGAATAGCTCCCACCCGGTTATCCCCAGCCTGCCGCGCCACAATCTTATCAATAATCACTTTGGCATCTCCTTCAAACCTCACTTGAGCAAACCCCAGCCCTAAGCACCAGCCAATCGCCTCCCGAAGAGTTAGCAATTCAATCACCATAGGATCACTTAGGTCAGGAAATTGAATCCCCCTAGCTAGAATGACCTCCTGGGATGAGGTCATAAGCACCATACCCCCAGCCGAGGGACCCCCCTGCCTGGTAGCCCCATCCCAACGGCAGATGACCCTGGAATCGCCAGGCGGGTTCGCCAGGATACTAGGTGGGTTACTCAAAGGGGATATCCGCTCCCTGGGCAAGCTCAACCATTCCTCACACTGTTGGTAAAACTGCCGCATTAAAGCTGGGATCCCGAACTGTTTGCCCTCAAAGACAACCCAATTCCGAGATCGCCAAATCCGCCATAGGATCGCTACCAGCGCCATAACCACCTCTGGCTGATGAATGAGATTCAGCATCCTTTTTAGAAGCAGGGGAAAAGTATGGTAAGGTAATCCTTGACCCAAATATTCCAAACCCGAGAGGTCCCACAAAGCTCGTGCCACCGGGCAAAAGAGAAAAAAATGCTCCAAGGTCTCCTTTTCCGCCCAACAAACCGGGCATCTGGGATGCACTTGGACCTCCCTTTCAATTAGGGCTTCTGTAGTGGGTAGGATTCGATTTACAAGCTGCCAGAGGAATACCTTCAGCTTTGGCGGGATAGGAGCCTCCCAAATACGGATCCAACTAGGCTTATCCATCCAGCTTGCCAACGAGCGCCACCCTCCCTTCTGTTTATCCAGCAGAACTGCAAGGTGATAAGCTGTTTTAACAGAGAATTGACCATCTGCAGTGTCATGCCAGATAAGCCGGTCTGGTACGTGATGCCTAGGTAAAGGTATTGCCTTGATTGCCTGACAAGTGGGGGGATCAAACCACTGCTCCAACTTGGAGTCACACCATCGTCCCTCACCCGGGCACATTACCTCAGAGACACATAGTTCCCTGTCCTCTGGGAGAATTTGAGGATTATAAACCAGCTCAGAAGGATGTAAGCTAGGGATCCAGTTGGATTGCAGAAGAGAAGCGGTCTGACCATCCCCAATCTGCCAACGGAGACCCTTCTCCAGCAAACTTCTTCCAAACAGGATACTCTGCCAACCCCAGGAAGGACGCGACCGAGCCGTGGCCGAAAGGAACGTACCTTGCGGAAAGTATTTCCCTTTGTAGACTTGCGCCAAAAGGGACTGTGGTTCACTCAGGATACGCCACCCAATATTAGCCAAGAGAGCCTGATTAGAATGCTCGAACCGACGGAAACCCATACCTCCGTCATGCTTACTCCGGCACATATTACGCCACGACATCCAACGAATTTTAGAATGTTCACCTTCAACGCCCCACCAGAACCGAGCAAGATGCTTATCAAGGAGGCGACAGAGAGACAGAGGGAGCTTAAAACATGACATGACATGCAGGGGTAAGGCTAAGGCTACCGATTTAATCAAGGTTTCCTTTGCTGCCCAAGAAAGAGACCGTTGTTTCCAACCCTGCAGTCTTGCCAATAATTTCTCCTCCAGGCTATCGTTCGTTGACCGTTAGAGGTCTAACGAACGAAATAAACCGGCTGTGCGTCTTGGCGTGAGGAGTGGAAGGAGGCATATAAGGAAAAGGAAGGTGCAACTTGGCTCAAACAAGCGCAATTCATGGATACCTATTTATGGGTTGTAATTGTACGTGGGCACGGGGCTGGGTCGCCCACGGGCTAGCACGACATGGCACAGTTAGAGCACGATACGAGCACGAATAATTCATGGGCCATGTCGGGCCTAAACTTCATGAGCACGGGCATGGTCTGTAAGTGGGCCATGCCAGACCTAATATTTTCGAGACCTTATTGAGTATAAGAACATAAATGAAACAAAAAGAATATTCCATTGATAGAAATAAATATATAAATAATTATAGGTTCAAATATTACAACATACAAGTAAAAAAATAATAATTTATTATCTTGGAAGTGATCATAAAAATATATGCGTAATTATTATCATAATTAAAAACAGACGAATAATTAAACAAAGCTAAATCATACCCTTTTATACTTCCTATTTTCTTTTCCTCCTTATGTGCTACATTTCTCAAACATTCTCTATTAATACTTACATTCTTCATTCAATTTTCTCGTTTTTCATTTATTTTCATCCTTTTCATTAAGCGCGAATACTAGTGCGACACGAGTACGAATAGATACTGCATGATTCAACCCATACTCGGGCTCGGACAGAGCATAGCAAAAATAACAAATGACCTAAAACGATACGACACGAAAACTGACTGATCATGTCAAATACGACACGAAGTGTGCGGTGCAGGCCCAAGCGCGGCCCAACGCCCACTTGTAACTATAGTCTATAAGTGCCTGCGTTTTTTTTGGTTCATTAATTATTTTATCGGCCTGTAAACAAATGCGAATCCATCGGACCTGTTTCCGATATATATTTCGCAGGCCTGAAAATGATAGGAAAAAAAACTGAGCCCAATTACTATCATGGCTGGCTGCGGAGCGCGGCACCTCTAATCTCTTGTAGGGTAAACCCTAAACCCATAAAACTATCACATACAGTTTTCTTCTTTGTTGATGCTGGCTTTGATGCTTGCAAAAAGATAAAGAAAAACAAAGCAAAAAACAATGGCAGCTTTCAAGGTATTGAAGGGCATGGACGATATGGCGCTGAAGCCTCGTTTACTCCTCACGTTGATGAATGAAGATGTTCCGGATGAAAATAGGCCACTGGAACCGTCGAAGCTGTCGAGGGTCGTGCGAATAATTAAAACCCACAAGCTCTTGTCGGAATTCTTCTCGGAAACAATGGAGGCGGAGAGAATTTATCTGTGGAAGTCCGCCGTCGATGACTGGGTCGAACGGCTGCTGTCGCTCTTGGCTTTAATACACAAGGTACCTATCTATTAATCTCCTAAATCGCTATTTATCGCACTAAAATTTAAATATTTCGCCCTACATCGTACAAAATTGACATTTATAACCCTAAAGCCCAATTTCAATCAGTGTCGTCAAGCCACCAACCGTCCGACCACCGCTGTCGTTCCCACAATCCGCCACCGCTGTCTTTCCCCCACCCCGCCGACCTGCTGTCATTCGCCGTCGACCCATTGCTATTCTCCAATCCACGCAGTCAATTTTTTTTTTATTCCCCTGGCTTTTCAACAATTAAAACAAGGGACCTTTTGCGGGAAAAGCTTTCCCTCAATCAACCTTTCTCTCCATATCTTCCCCCAAAAACCATGGCGGCCGCCGGTACAGTCTCCACGGTGCTGGACCAGCTGGGAACAATCCTTTTTCGAGAAACTGAAACAACGGGGGTGGATGGTAATCGGAGCTGAGTCGGATGTCAGGAAGATGCCCAGAATCCTGAAATCTATTCGCCCCAGCAATGCCGAGCAGCGGCAGCTGACGGAGGAAATAGTGAAGTTATGGATCCACCGCCTGAACGACGTGTCGTTCGAGTTCGAGATTGACGACGTGATGGACGACTGGAGCACCGTGATTCTTCAGCGCAGAGTTGAAGCCAACCAGCCGGATCTCAATTGATTGGACCTGCAGCTCCGATGGGTCTCCAATTTCGTCGAGAAAGTATGCCGTTTCCTTCCTTTATCTTTCGTTTCGTTCGACAATGTGGCGCTGAGACATGATATTGGTAGCAAGATTAAGGAGTTGATCGATAAACGACAACGGTGGTCAGACGGCTGGTGGGCTGGATGGCAATCCAAGTTACTGATACAGATTGAAATTGGGCATTGGGTTATAAATATCAATTTAATACACGATTTAGGGCGAAATAATTTAAATTTTAGGGCGACGAATAGCAATCCCCATCTCTGGTTTATTCTTCCCTGGTGGTTATAGTCGAACAATCGAACAAGCAATGCATGATTTGTAGAGTTACTGCTAATTTATAGCCGAACAAGCAATGCATGATTTGTAGAGATACTGCTAATTGCTTCTGATGCAGTCCTGAGTATGAGTAATTGATTGATTCTGTTTATAGCCAGATAAATGTCGGGCTGGTATATACTTGCTCGGAGTAACAATTGAAGAGTGCAGCTCTGAGCGTTTCTTGACATCATGCATGACCTGGTTGGAACAACTTCTATCAACCATGCAGGTACACTGTATTCTCTCTTTTAGCGGAATTCTTTTACAAGTGTGACAGTTCTACGATATTAATTTTCTTTTGTGATGGATTTCTTTCTATACATTGTGCTTTGTCACTTCGACCACTGTGCTGAAAGACTCATTAATTAACGTGTTCCCCTTCTCCTTACAGCGGTCCAGTGATGATTCGTCTCTAAAGGTGGCTTGTTGTGCATCAATCTCACATCTGATTACAAGGTCCGTCTTTATCTTCATCAGAGTTATGGTCCTTTTCCGTCAACTACCTAACAGAGCAGTTAATCTTGATGCTATAACCTATCTGAATTAGGTTGCCTGGATTTCCAGAGTTAAAGAGGGATTGGACTGCTCGTGCTGGGAGACTCGTTGAATTACTTCTGAAGATTTTTAACGAGGATAATCCTCACACCGTTCAGGTTGGGACTTTCTAGCTGATAGCTTTACGAACAACAGTGGAATCCCCAGTTAGACATCTTTTAAGTTCTTGTGGGATTACTCTTTACCAAGCACATTTCAATTCGTAACTATGTACATGTTGGCTGTGGCATGTCAGGAAAGTGCAGTGCATCTGTTATCTGCTATCATAACTTCATCCTCTCTTCCTAGTTATTATGACATTGTAAGTCTTTTCTTTGTTGTAAGAGCCTGAATTTTGAGTCCTTTACTTATGTATTATAAATTTGTAATTATGATAATAATAATAATGATGATGATAATAATTATAACAATAATGGCTGTAAACTTTGCAGGTTGAAAAAGCAACTGTGTCAAAACTGTTCTCAGGAAATGACAATCCTAATTTGCGGAAGGTACCCCACCTTAGCTATTGTCTTTCTTCTTCTCGATCTTGGCTGATCTTTCCACCAAAAATTTGCGCATCAGAATGAACTTTAAACATCTTGCCTAACGCATCATCTGTTTAATCTTTTGACATGCAGAAGTTTGCCACCACCCTGGCATTACTTCCAAATTTCAATAGAGGCAAGGATAATTGGCTTCCACTACTAAAAAGTATACTATTGTTGCTAAATGGTTTATTAACTGATATCTTCAGTGGATTTGAAGACGGTATGTGTCAGTAACATCCTCACATTCCACTCCTTTGGCAAATGATATTCCCTAACTATCTCTCTGTGTCATTGTAGGATGTAAATTGGATGAAGCAATGCGATTGTTGGTTCCAGAAGGAGTAGATAAGCCCAAAGAGATATGGGGCCAAAAGTTGGTAGAAGACGTCTCTGGAAAGGGAAAAAGGATGGCTAAGTTACACACTGCCCTGTTACTGATGTCCAGCTGTTTAACAATGCTGACAAATTCATACCCTATCCAGGTAGCGGTTGGATGATTGGTCTGAGTTACAAAAGCATCCTTCATTTGAAAAATTGCTGAAGTGAGCATTGATGCATCAGCCATGACGTTTTGAATTGGAAGAAGCATTTTATGTTTTTTATTTTATTTTGCAATTTACGCGCAGGTAAAGCTTCCTGTCCTGGCATTGTTGGCCCTTGTGGATAGGGTCTTGACGGTTCATGGGTCTTTGCCAAATGTGAAGTCCTTTGTGATTGCAGCTGAACAAGAGTATGTGTGTTCAGAGCTACCAGTTCTACATTCATATGGTCTAGATCTCCTTTCTTCTGTAATAGAGTGCTTGCGCGGGTAAGTTACTAAAACCAAATCATGTTCGTCCTTGTCATTAGGCCTAGTCATCTCAAAGTTACCTTCTAGTCAATTTCACTTAATTGTGATGTTGCCTAATTTGTTCTTACTAAGTCGTTCTTTCTCCAGATAGTCTACTATTGAATCTTGATCTCATTGACCAACTACGTTTTATGTGCTGGTTTTTCCCTTGGTAGTCAACTACTCCGGCATGCTGCACATATCTTCCAACTAGTTAAAGGTTATTTTAGTAGATGTCAACTGCCAGATTTAAGGGAAAAGGTGTATTTAATCTTAAAGATGATGCTCATATATGGGGGTGCGGGTAAGTTGATTTGTCAATTACTTTTGTCAGTTTTATCGGTGGAAGTTTTTTCTTGTACAACTGTTCTTTGATTAAGTGATACTGCTTACATCATGCAATTTGAAAACTATATTCGCTTAAGTTCTATCCAGTACTGAATTAAAGACATGTAAGAAGGGTCACCAGGAAGTTTCTGAACATTATCTGTTCATGAATTGATCTCATTTTTTAAGAGTAAAGTTATATCAGTTTCATTGTGATGGTTCTATGCTCATACCGTCATCTCAAAGCAGAGTTAAATTACAGCACAACTCCAACCAATTCAGAAAAATGCAAAAGCAGAACTAGGCAGATTTATCTGAACTGGGTTTTCCTGATAGAACAAATGGTTAAAGCCACACAGATAACAAATGTAGAACTAGGCAGATTTACCTGTACTAGGTTTTACTGATACAACTATTGGTAAAGCCACGCAGGTTACAAATGTATAAAATGTAAGAACAACCGGGAGAAAATGTTGACATCAAGATTCACTGACTTTGCACAATTGCATGGTTTACCCTCAACAGGTATGGGAATCTATTTTGGGCAAGTGGTTGTCAGCAATGCCCTCATTGATCTGAATGATGTTGCTGTTCACACAATAGACATGAGCTCAAATGCTTCTTCTGAAGCATATGGGCGGCCTTCACAGAGCCAAGGAGCTTCAAATTCAGTAAAAAAAGCTGCACTTGAGGCAATAAAAGCTCTTATTACCGTGGTATTGCTTTTGTTCTGTATAACTTCAGTAATCTGTTAATTTCTATTCACCAAATAAGTAAATGTAAGTTCTATTCTTCAGCCTCTATAGTGGGGGCATCGAGAAGGAAGTCTGGTTTTATTTAATGTCAAATTGAGCTGCAATTTTAGTCTTGGAGCTCAATGATTTGACCAATAGTAGCTATGTGTACAAGTTGAATAACCAACTTTTTTCCTAGGTGTAGAATTTGCTTCACACTTGGCTTGACCTAGCTCTCGAACTTACAGCCTTGTGTCTTTGTTCCTCACTTGCTGTATGTGTTCATGTCCCAACCATTTTGCTTCGTAGACCAATAAATATTGTGGATATTCTGGGATTTGCTCCTTAACTTGTGTCACTTGATGCACCCTATCCAAATCAATCTGTTGCTTTGTCTTAGGTTTTCATTTGGTCGTTTTGTAGCTAGCAAAATATGAAATCTTTGAGGTGGTTTTGGCTTTCTATGGTTTTGCAGGGGGGTGCTCTTTGTTCAGAGCCTTGGCGATCTACTATTGATAATCTTGTAATAAACATAGCGAAGAAAAGTTGCATAGGTAAATTGGGAGATGAAAGGAGTCTCTTGTCCAATGACCACCCTTCAATGCTTTCAGATCTTCAGTTTGCAGCACTGGACGCACTTTTGGCATCTCTGCTATCCCCATCACGCACCCGCCCTCCTCATTTGGCTCAAAGTCTTGAGCTTTTCAGTCGAGGTAAACCTTCCCTTTTGCTGTCATGTCATTGTCACGCAATTGTGAGGTATCTATATTTTCATGATGAATGGCCATGAAGATTTATCAGCTCGGTAATAGTTTTGGGTTTAGTTTGGTTTTGTGTAAATGCATTGATGAATGGCCATGAAGATTTATCAGCTCGGTAATAGTTTTGGGTTTAGTTTGGTTTTGTGTAAATGCATTGTTATTTGTCTCAATTACACGCTATTTAATTTGCATGGTTATGATAATTGTGAAGGCATTGTTTGGTTCGGTGTATCTTTGTTGGAAAACGTTTGAGAAAGATTAAAATGAGGGCCCCGTACATATGTAGTTGAGATTGCATTGCTTGGATGCATTGCTATTGTGTGTACAATTTCAAATATAATGAGTACATTAGAAGTGAAAATAAAATGAAAGCTTACGTGTTGGTTCAATTGTACTCTACTCCCAACCAAACCCCTTGTTGGGTTTATTTCTAATAAGTTTGGTTGGGATTGTGCAGGCAGACGCGAGGCAGGAATGAAGATCTCTGAATTTTGCACTCATGCTCTTTTAGCCTTGGAAGTGCTCATGCATCCTCGGGCATTGCCATTTATAGATTCCTCCCTGAACCCAAGTACACCATTTTCTAGAGGCAATCATGAAGTAGAGCTTGGTGGTGACCTCTTTGATCGAAGAAATAATGACGTGCTACATCAGAGCTGGATAGTTGACACCAAGGAAACCGAGGACTCACTAGAAATTGTGAGAAAACAAATGGACATGGAAGGAGAAAGTGCTTGTGAAACAGCCATTGTTGATCAATCAGGAGAGAAGACTTGTGTGGGTAATCCAGAAGTCCAGATGAATGATGAAGCTGTGATTATGGTGGGTCTGGGACAGCCTTCTGAAACATACATGATGAGACAAACGGACATGGATGAAGAAACTGATCAGGATATAGCTAGAGTGGTTGAGCAATCAGGAACAAGGACTTGTGTTGCTAATGATGATGCAGAGGCCGAGGTGACTGATGAAGCGGCGATGATGGTGGATATGGGAGGGTTAGTGTCTCCAAAGAGGATGGACTTTGGTGCTGAATCAGACAGTGAGTCAACACATTCTTGGCCAGACATTGTTCGTGCCAGGCCGGATCCTTACTAGGTTTGGAGAAGAATTATGCTGCGGAGTTGAAAGGCTCGTTGGCGGTGTTGTGCTGGGCTGTGGCCAGCTCGATGGTTTGTTAACGAGGTTTTTGGTAAAACTTTGGTTTTGTAAAACCTTAGATATATGATAATATATTTAAATTTGGTGTTATTATGGATTTGAACAAGTTTAGTGTTTGCTTGTTGGATTTCATTATGAATTTTATTTGATTAGAGTTATGGATATGGAATACAATTATATTGTTACTCTTATCTAATTATATTTATATATTATAATTCAAATTTTCATTGAAAGTAAATCCAATACATCCAAAGAAAGCCAATTACTTTGTGGACTAATAAGTCAACTATAAATGTATCATAATTGGCACTAATTAACAATTCATCTAATAATATACGCAATATTATGTATTAGTTGCACTTAGTTGCTCGCCTTATTGCAATAATTCATCTTCTTGCTAACTCCTCGATTTTGGAATCCGACAGTCAATCACATAATAATGCACAATATGAGCATAAGGTATTTATAGTTGAATCCAAGAAATCACAGACACATTCATATTTAAATAAAATACAACATCACAAACGAAATCTTAAATTCTCATATTTAAATAAAATACGACATTACCAACATTTATAGTTGCATACCCATTAAAATAAAATACGAGGACAACTTTATAATTAAAAAAATAAGTAAGGGTAGAAGGGTAAACTATCATCATTGGTTTAAATCCATCATCCAAATCCTATCTCAAAATGTAAACCTTTCAAGTCCACGAGGTTCACAAATTTGGACCCAAAAGTTTGCGGCCCCACAAATTTCATCTTTCTAATTTCCTATTGCAAATGATGAATTTTCATTGAAGTCCATGATGGATTGATTTACATGACCAAATCAATAATCAAAACCTTCAACCAAATGAACTATTGGAATAGGAAAAAGCCTTACAGGAAAAATGCAAGCCAACATGAAACTTTACCGGTTTTACCCATCGCCATGGATGCTAGACAACAAATTCAAGTTTAGGGGAAGGAAGAGTAGGTTTCAATTACGAGAAGTCATTAGATTCATCTCATAGAGAATGCGTACTATGAGCTGGGTAAGATCAGGTGACTAATGGCGTCCACTGAATTATATAACTAAGTGCATTTCAACCATTTCACTTCATTTAAATCTAATGATTCTAAATAATCTAATTTAATAAAGGTCAACATAGTAATTATATGATTATTCAATTTATTGATAAAACAATAAAAAATAAAATAAAAAGCAGGGCGTGCAACTATTCTCCCTGCCGCCGATTGGTAATTCCGGCCAGGAGTACACAGTTGGAATTTCCGGGCAGAATTCCGGCCAGGAGGAGCCGGTCTGTCCATGGCCTCCTTCGTTCCCCGCTGGAGAGAGAGGATTTTTCTGGCAATGGAGTTCGGTATCCTAATTCGGTTTGTGTCGTTTATCATTCTAGTTCGTTATTTTATCTATTGTGTTTGTAATGTTTATATGAATAATTTATATATATTTGGATTTATTATTTGTAATGTTTGTTTATCTAGTTTGTATACTTTCATGTTATGGTTTGTATGTTTTGTATTCATTGATTTATAATACAAGTTTACCGATTTGTATTGTAAGTAGTGGTAATCTATACGGTTAGTATGTTTTGTACTGTTTGTCCATATCTTTTGTAATATTTGTAAGCATTGTTATTTTGTAATATTTGTCGCTTGTTTTTGTAATGTTTGTAAGCTTTGTTATTTTTGTCCACCATGTTTATAATACTTTTATGTCTAAAAAATAACCTGGTTGACTTTCGGACGGAAGTCCTCTATATTGAGATGGAGCCTCCAAAGTCAACTCGACTATTTTTCCATTTTGTATGGTTTGTCGGTCTAGTTTGTAAATTGTGTCTACCATGTTTGTAATGATTGTATGTCTAAAAAACAACCGAGTTGATTTTGTGATGTTGACCCTCTATATAGGGATGAAGTCTCAAAAGTCAACATGGTTGTTTTTCCATTTTTTATGGTTTGTATTGTTTGTCAGTTTATTTTGTATTGTTTGTATAGTTCGTATGTTTTGCATTATTTATAATTCCGTTTGTATGTTTTGTCGCTCTCGTTTGTATATTTGTATGATTTGTACTGTTTGTAAGTTCGGTTTGTATACTTCGTAATTTTTCATAATTCCCAAACTACCTCTGTCATCAATTAAAAATGAATTTCCACTTTTTAACCATTATATTAGTGTGTCCAGATAAGGGTTAGAAAAGACTTAGTCAAGTGACTAAGTCCCCCATAGTCATGGATCCGCCCTCCTAGCAGCTTGAAACTTGGAAGGTACTTAATTTGATTGTTTCGGCAGAAAAAGAACAAAAGAAAAAAAAATGTTGTTTAGTCCAAATCGTCGAGGAGCGTTAGACCTGGCAATCGGGTTGGGTTGGGTAATTTCGGGTTACAGTTTCAGGTTACAGGTTGGGTCATATTGGGTTGACTTATTTCGGATTAAATATTGACACACCCATTTGGTTTCGGGTCGGGTTACGGGTCATTTCGGGTTATGAGCGCTCTTAGAAACAGTATCAAGCATACTTCATATTTTCTTAAAGAACACAAATCTTCACATATGCATGACAATAGTTTACCTAACATATGTCAATTAACATATTCTCAAATCTTCTCATGCTAATTAAATGAAATACAAATTGCAAAAATCGTAAAAAAATAATCACAAGAGTAATACTACCATAAGAAACGCATGATATTTGATTATCATTAACTCCAAACATGTCATTCACATCCTTGTGATTTTTTTAAACATCTCACCAATTTACGAGCGATTTTATCATTTTTGGAGTTACATATGAAATGGAACGGGTCTAACGGGTCGACCCGCTAACCCACCCAACCCGACCCAAAAAATCACGGGTTTGTCGGGTTCGGTTCATTCGGATTTCGGATCATAAAAAATCCTATTTTTTGGGAGATTTCGGGTCGGGTCAACTGGTCGGGTTGTAATTTTCCAGGTAGTGCAATACCACAACGACAATAGGTCGTTGAACACAAGGTTAATATTGTTAAAGAAAATGTCAATAGTAGTGTACATCGGGTGAATTGAGTTTGTACAATTTTGAACCCAACCCATCCATATCGGTTTCAACAATCTTAAAACTGAACCTCTCCATAAAAATCAAGGTCTGTCGGCTTCAAATTTATTGGCAGTAAATAAAATTTAATAGCCAAACCTTTCATTTTAAACAAAATAATAGCCAAACCTTTTTGAAAACAAATTACTAGCCAAATTTATTGGGTTTGTACAGTTAACTTTCCGTTTGGTCAACGGTTAGCTGACTCCGACGTGGAAAGGAACTGTACACGTCGGATAATTTTTTTCCAATTTTTTTTAACTTTCCGAGTTATTAAGTTTTTTAAGTAGCTGGAAAATTAATCGGGGGCATTCATTTTTCCCCTCTGACTCCGCGTAGCCTCTCCTCCTCCACGCAGCCTTTCCCCCTCTCCCCTTCCGTCCGACGACCATTTCTTCTCCCCGTCGAAGTAATTCCCTCCCCGTTCTGACTCTCTCGCCCCGTCAAAAAACTCTTCATTCTCCTTCGTCCCAGAACTCCACTCGAGGCTCCTAACTACTTCCATCCCAGATCTCGTCGCGTCGTGGCGGCTTTATTGTCCAATACCCGGCGAGCTTCGGTGCATAAGACCCCCATGTCTGAGAAGGACGGTTCATCCTCTTCTACCAACACAAATCGAGATTCGAGACCTATATGCCACGATTGTCCATGTATCTTGCAGGTGTCTGGTACCGACAAGAATCCGGGAAGAAAGTTTTACTGTTGTTGATACTGGAAGGTAACACAATTTGTTTAGTTGGTGGCCTTTCGAATCTATTGTACATGTCTGGGGAGCTCTCTTTTTGTAGGATCTGAAAGTAAAGTGCAAGTTCTTCGTGTGGGTTGATGAGTACGAACCCAAAATTTGGAAGGAATAAGAAGATGAGCTGAAGACCAAACTGATTGAAATGGAGGAGAGCTATAGGATTGCTCAGATGAAGGCAGAAAGGAGGAAAAATGCAAAAAATTTGCTTTTAGAAGAACTGATCAGTACCGAGGAGGATCACGCAAGAATGGAATCCGAGTTCAGGAAAATGAGCTATGTGTTTGATGTTCTTGAAAGAAGGATGAAGAATCTGATGATAATTGCTCTAGTTGTTATGCTTTTGTTGTACTTTTGTGGTTTCAATGAGTGATTAATGTGTTATGGACTTTGATTTGCAATAGATTGCTGCTTTTTTTAAGTCTGCAAACGATATGTAGAAGAGTGCATATCCTTTCCATAAACACAACTATGAAGTGAACCTGTACAAAATGCAAAATTAGGTAGAAGAGAGCCAATCAAACTACATTGGCTCAATTCACCACAAGCTCACCTTCATCAGTCTGCTTCACATTTACATTAAGAAGCAGAAGAGTGCATGTCTAAACTTAGAATTGAGTTGTACAAAATGCAAGAGTTGGTAGAAGTGAGCCAAACTAACTAACTCGGCTCAATTCACCACAAGCTCAACATCATTTGCTCTGCTTCTAAACTATAACTACTAAGTTCCCTATAATACTACTGAGGCTGAGTTGTTGGTCCCTGTGTCGCATCAATCTCAGTTGGTTGGGTACCGACAGCTTCTGTAGAACTACGAACTCCAGCATTCTCCACCCTCGGAAACTGAAAAGTTACAGCCAACATAATCAGTTAGTTACAACAACTACTACTACTTATTACAGTGTAAGTAACACATTGGTAAATCAAGACCAATTGACACCATTCTGACGTACATGGATATACTGGTTCCCGGTGTTCAGGTTTGTATATATACCAATGCCACCTAGGACAGTTTTGACGTCTCTGGAAACTTGGTTCGCATTCCAAACCTCAATTCTAGCATGCTATATATTTGTAACCAAAATTAATCAGATACACGAGAAGACAGATTCATGCAAAAGGGATTATTTTGCAACAACACATCTACTTACCTGAATTCCCATGTTCAATGGACACTTCCTAGCATTATGTCTAGGTTGTTCAAACGAACCACAATGGATGGCCCTCTGTGGAATATACAATGGTGAGATATTGTAAACAGAGTATAGTGTTTATAATGGGGAGTAGTATGTAAAATCATACCTTTGGTCTGCTTGCTTCGTTTTGGGATTCCATTGGCTGCCCTCTCCCTCCTTCATTCGAACCACCTTGCTGCCCTCGTCCTCTCCCTC